TTGTTTTATTAGTTTATTGTTCTCCATGTATTTTTAAAAGTAAAAACCAAATTAACATTTTAGTAAAAAATTTTGAGAACCCCCAAGGTACCTCTTGCGGACCCCTGGGGATCCAGGGACCCTAGTTTGAGAACCTCTGGTTTACAAAATCAAACTTCCTGCCTAAAAACAGCTTTCATCATCAGTCAGTGGATACAAAAAAATGATTACAAAAAAGAAAGGTGCACTGGACTCTTGAAATACAATGAGAATTTATTCAAACGGTGCAAAAAAAATAATCATATTAATATTAACCTAACATAAAATCTGATGTTCTTTCTATCCAGATTGCACTCACACAGCCTCAGGGCTTTCCCCTCTGGAAAATAATGTCAAACAAACACTAAGAAAATTAAAAAACAAAAAACAAGTCAGAGTAATGCACAAATTTGGTAAAACGGTTTGCAATTTACATGCAACAGTTCCAGTCCCATGCAACTGCGAGTACTTCATGTTGGAAACGATGAATATTCTGCTCCCACAGAAATGACAGCATTGTACAATATCTATAAAAATATAGTGAGTCAGGTGCATTGCGAGACTAACCCAAAGCCATTTCTCTTCTGAGGAAACGAGCCAAGTCGTGTTAGAGCTCAGCACGGACCGACGGCTGCAGGATTCTAAACCCAACGAGGTGAACGCATCTTTTAAAAAAGGTGACAAATAAAAAGTCAGACTGTCAGACAATTAGTGTGAAAGAACATCCTAAATCATCTCAACTAAACATCCCACAACCCACTGAACAAAAAGTCTCACTATAAATATATCCATTCTCAAATCGTCAGGTCAGTGAGGAGGAAGTTGGTTTCCAATGAAAGAGCCACAAACAAAAAGGCCCATTAGAGAAGGAATCCTTCAAAAAAACTAAATGTCATGTCAGTCAACAGAGACTCCGCCCCCAAACCCCGCCTTCTTCTCCAGACTGGGACCATATACATTCTTATCCTTTAAAAAACACTGTAAAACTTTGGGCTTACAAAAATAACTTGGAACATATTTATACAACCTCTCAAGCTCTTGTTTTTATTCTTAAATACAAAACAAAACGTTACAGCTTGTAAAGTTTGATGTTTCATCGTAAAAACATCAAAAACTGATCATTTGTAGCTAATTGTTGGTTTGGAGGAAAGAAAAAAAAGCACACAACACATTTGTATTTAAATTAAAACAGACAAATATTCCCAAACTTACACATCTCAACATGTTTACCCACATTCACACAGCAAATGTTTTATTTTGGAGGGGAAAGTGGAAAAAAATATTGGGAGCTTTATTGTGAAATATGATTTCAAGTATCCTATTGCAGCTTTAGCAGCATGGGAGAGAAAAATAGTGTTTAAATAACACTACTGAAAACTATTCCTCATCATTTTTGTGTTAGTGTTGTAACAGAGGGGGGGAATGAGACGACAGCCCCCTCTAGTGGCCAAGGCAGTGGATTGCATACTGTTTTGTGCTTTTCAAACGACCTCGATGAGAAATGAACACGAACGAGCCGAGCAACGACGACATTTCACATCATGGCTTCTTACAGGAAAAACAATTACAGCTCGACTCGTTACAACAAAACAGTCCTAAATGTGGAGCAACGAGGAAGACTGGAACGAATCAGCTCCTTTCTCAAATTATTTAAATCCCAAACTGGAGATAAGATTATATTCAGAGCGTCAACACATGTCGGTGTCAGTAGTTGTGAAAACTGCAGGCAGTGAAGCAAAAGGCTAAAGTTTGGAGAAGGAAAAACGCTGTAAAGACCAATTAACTTGAAATAAAACTCCTCAGTTTGTGCGTTTGAGTCCACTTTCAACAGAACTGGCAGTGGCTGCAGAGACGATCGTAGCAGAGCTGGGCTCCTGACGGAACATGAGGAAAAGTGCTTGAACTGTGCAAAACATGAGGGGACTTAGTGGAAAAAACAAACAACAAAAAAATTGTTTTAAGTACAATTTTCTGAACCAGTGCCTCTCTGTTGAACCGATAAAGTCACAAAACTGGAAACAAAATCAAATAATGAGATTGCTTGGAGTTTGTTAATGCTTCGGACGTTAAAGATGAAGGTTTGTCATCAGAACTGAGGAAATATGACTAATGAAGCAGGAAGATCTTACACATTTTATACATAAATCTTGTTATAAAACAGATATTTATCTTTTTAAGGCTCATCTATTTTGTATTAACCTCATGGTCTGATTAGAATTATAAGATATTGATCTTTACTTGGTGCATCTACAGTAAATAATCGTCTAAAAAAGCCAGTGTTGTATCTGACACTGTTCTCACATGAATACATGGATTTAATCAAAGACGCAGCAGGAAACCCTCATATCTGCTGTGATGATGAAGACGATGCAGTGATCCTGATCACTTTACTTCATATTATTAACAGTTTCCTTCCTGCAGAAGCTGTTTCTTTCACTCTGCTTTAAATATTCAAATTCTCTTAAAGTTTGTTCATTTTGTGAGAAATATCTTGTTCCAGATAGAAAATTCTGATTAAACAAAATGATTTCTGAGTTTAGAAATCTGTAATTCAGTGATTTTACTCATAAGCAGCATCATAGAACCACTTAGCGTGATGTGGAAGAGGATAATGAAAGCTACACTGAATATACAGACTAAAAATCTTGTTTGAACCTTTTTAAACTCTTTGTTAAAGAAATAAAAACCCACAAAGTTTCAGAAATCGAAGTTCTGAAAGACCGGAGACGACCTCCTTGGATGTGTCCAAAACTGGACAACAGATAAAATGATTGGTAACCAAAGAGTCCAGAACTTCCAATGAGATTAGAGGCAACCTCTAAGGTCAAAGGTCATCAGTGCCTTTTAGAAAAACCAGACAGAAACTGGAGCTGCATGAAAACATAATCCCAACAGGTCTGTGTTCACAGAGCCAGACCCAGAACCTACAAAAACTGTTTATCTACAGCAGAACCTCAAGACTAGCAAGGCCTCCTGGTCTCAGGTCGTGGGTCCTCCAACACAATACCTGTGGACAGGTGGTCCAGAATACCTGTTGACAGGTGGACCTACAGTACCTGCGGACAGGTGGACCTGTAGTACCTGTAGACAGGTGGACCAGAACACATGTTGACAGGTGGACCTACAGTACCTGTGGACAGGTGGACCAGAACACATGTAGACAGGTGGACCAGAACACGTGTAGACAGGTGGACCGGAACACGTGTAGACAGGTGGACCAGAATACCTGTGGACAGGTGGACCAGAATACCTGTAGACATGTGGACCTACAGTACCTGTGGACAAGTGAACCTATAGTAACTGTGGACAGGTGGACCTACAGTACCAGTGGACAGGTGGACCTACAGTACCAGTGGACAGGTGGACCAGAATACCTGTAGACAGGTTGACCTACAGTACCTGTGGACAGGTGGTCCAGAATACCTGTGGACAGGTGGACCAGGATACCTGAAGACAGGTGGACCTACAGTACCTGTGGACAGGTGGACCAGAATACCTGAAGACAGGTGGACCTACAGTACCTGTGGACAGGTGGTCCAGAATACCTGTGGACAGGTGGTCCAGAATACCTGTGGACAGGAGGACCAGAGTACCTGTGAACAGGTGGACCAGAATACCTGTAGACAAGTGGATCTACAGTACCTGTGGACAGGTGGACGTATAGTAACAGTGGATAGGTTGACAAGAACACGTGTGGACAGGTGAATCTGCAGTACCTGTGGACAGGTGGTCCAGAACACCAGTCGACAGGTGGACCTATAGTACCTGTGAACAGGTGGACCTATAGTAATCTACAGTAACTGTGGACAGGTGGTCCAGAATACCTGTGGACAGGTGGACCTATAGTACCTGTGAACAGGTGGACCAGAATACCTGTGAACAGGTGAATCTACAGTAACTGTGGACAGGTGGTCCAGAATACCTGTGGACAGGTGGACCTATAGTACCTGTGGACAGGTGGACCAGAATACCTGTAGACAGGTGGACCTATAGTAACAGTGGACAGGTGGTCCAGAACACCTGTCGACAGGTGGACCAGAATACCTGTGGACAGGTGGACCTATAGTACCTGTGGACAGGTGGTCCAGAACACCTGTGGACAGGTGGACCAGAATACCTGTGGACAGGTGGTCCAGAACACCTGTCGACAGGTGGACCAGAATACCTGTGGACAGGTGGACCTACAGTAACTGTGGACAGGTGGACCAGAATACCTGTGGACAGGTGGACCTACAGTACCTGTGGACAGGTGGACCTACAGTACCTGTGGACAGGTGAACCAGAACACCTGTGGACAGGTGGACCTACAGTACCTGTGGACAGGTGGACCTACAGTACCTGTGGACAGGTGGACCTACAGTACCTGTGGACAGGTGGACCTACAGTACCTGTGGACAGGTGGACCTACAGTACCTGTGGACAGGTGCAGAAGTCTCAGAGAGCTACAGAAATCACTTGATTTGATTGATTGACCTAAATGTTTGAACAATAAAATATTAGTATAATATTAAATTAAGGGTACTTTATTTTTTTATCACAGTCAGTTTAAATATTTTTATTTTAAAAATTTCTCTTAAACTAAAATTCCAAAGCAATGACTGATTTTCATGAGTTAATTTTCAGTCATTTTTTAAATGTTTTTAGTTTGTAGTTACTTCAGTGAGCTTTGTGGGCTTTTATTTTTTTTAACTAAAGAGATAAAACATTTTTTCCGCATCTACTTATGAGTCTTGATGAAGGAAAGTTTGACATCCTCAGTTTTAAAATATATGGATTATATGGAAATAGCTGATATTAGTAACAGTGCGAAATCTTTGTGTTTATATTCTGGAGAGTATTAGCACCGCAGCGCCTCACACTAGTAGTGTAAAACTGTGGCTTCAGTTCACACAATGCAAACGATGAGCCAAAAAACAATCCAGTAAGAAGAAATCTGATGTTTTCCATGAGGTACACGTGATGAGCATTATTAGTGTAACGTCTAACACTTAAATCTGACTTTAATCAACCCAAACAATGGAACAGAGAACAGGTGTAGCGGAAACCTTTGAGCCTTTCTCTTTGTGCTTACATCACTGCTTGTAGTGTGACAGAGGAAACTGTACTGCCGTATACATTCTCTCCACTAGGAGGCAGTAGCAAGGCGTTCAACTCTTACAACGGAGGAGCTCTCACACACGCGCACACAAACACACACTCATACACAACACCTGCATAAGAGCCACAGCAAAATGTAACAGAAGTGCAGTTATTTATTCTACGGTCGAACACGTGACCCTCAGCAGCGAGAAACCACCCTGTTTACTGTCGTCACCTTCAACAGGAAGTGACACAGTTTTAAAAAAAGAAAAGAAAAGAGGGAGACTGCTGCCTTTTTTAGTGTCCATTTCGAGGCAGATCTACCTCCCCAAACACAACACAAGGCCACTCTTCAAACTGAAGCCACGGCGCGGTTCCTTCAGAACCGGTGGATGGCTGGTTCTGTCTCCCTCTTCTTCAGCTCCTCCCGGTAGCAGTAGGAGCAGTAGTTCCCTGTCTCGGGGTTCCCGAAGTAGGAGCAGCAGGGTGTCCGACAGCGGCTGGACTGCAGGCTGGACAGACCGCCCGCGCTGCCCAGCGAGTAGTGTCTGACGGGGGGCTGCCCGCTCCGAGCGTCCAGGCTGGAGCTCACGTCCCGGTAGCCGTTGGCGTAGCCGCCGCCGGCGAGCTCCGCCCCGGGGTAATCTGGGGGGTCGAACTCTGGGTAGGAGGGCGCGAGGCGAGACGGGCTCAGGGAGGAGGGGCCTTGGGGTATGTTGTATTGGGGGTAGGAGGGGCCCTGCGGGGCGGGGCAGTGCCGGGGAAGGGTGGCGTACGAGGGGAGGCCGGGGTAACTGCCGGCCGGAGCGCCACCGGCTAGCTGGCGCCGTGTGTCCAAGTGTCCGTGCACGTGGAGATGTTGGGTCAGAGGTGCGCCGGCGGGGGGCTGCTCGATGAAGGAGGGCCGGGGGATGGGCACTACAGCAGAGTACATGGAGGGGCTCAGAGGGGTCGGGTTGAAGGAAGGAGACAAGTTCTCTGAAAGCTCTTCTTTGGCTTCGTACGGTCGATAGCTCAGCTCGGACCCTCCCAGACCCTCCTTCTTGGGCGGCTGGACGCTGTTAGCCACGCCCTTCCTCTCCGCCTCGCGGCGCTGCTGCTCCTGCTCCATTCGGAAGCGATCCTCGGCGTCGGCCAGGTAGCGCTGTATCATCTCCTCCTGAAAGGGCTGGCGGTTGCTGGTGGTGAGGAGGCTGGCGAAGATGAGCTTCCTCTCCCCCTGCATGGCAGCACGCAGGATGCCCAGGCTGACCTTCACGTCGGCGCTGTACTTGTAGCTGTCGCTCTCCGTGCTGCTGCCGCCGCTGCTGCTCATGCTGCTCATCGTGCCGAGGAGCCGCTCGCTTCCCGACGAGGGCGAGCCCTTCCCGGAGTCCTCCGAGGCCTGGGTGGAAGGAGAGCTGTCCTTGCTGCCCTTCCTCCCCCTGAACGAGCCCTTTTTCTTGTCCCCGCCCTCCGGCTTGGCGCCTCCGGCTGCAGCGTTCTTCCCCGTCATCAGTCCGCCCACGTTCTTCTTCAGCTTGCTGCCGAGGCTTTTGCCGAAGCTTCCGAGCTTGTTGGCCACGGAGTCTGCCCTCTTCTTGTCTTTATCTTTATCCTTCTCTTTCTTGGGTTTGTCCTTCCCTCCCGACCCGGTCCCTGCAGACCCACTGCTGGAGGAACTGGAGGAGGAAGAGGAGCCGTTCTTGGCCACGGAGCTGCTCCCGTTAACCGTGGAGGCTGTGGTCGTGTCTCCGTTGCCGTTGGAGCTGCTGCTGACCGACTCCTTGTCTGATTCTCCGGAGTCAGGAGGTGTTCTGGCGTCCTCTCCTGCAGAAGCTGTGGGTGACTCGGGCTGAGCCAGGGGGGCTTGCTGCAGGCGAACAAAGCAGAGAAACACATTTATTAAAACATACAAAAAGACAAGATTTGTTGTTTTTTTCCACTCATGATGGCAAAACAGAATTTAACTTTAGTTCCATGTTTGTGCAGGAACACACAATTTAACCATCATAAAAAAGTAAAAAAGATTGTGAAAAGAGATAAACAACAAGTTGAAGTGATTTATTTTGTGACTTTCCATCATGTTCCATAAAGAGCTACCAGAAAGTGTTTCTGCAGATCTCTGGATTAGATATTTTTTTGTAATTCAAGACGTTTTAACAACACTTCATGTTACTCGTTTACCGTTAGTGTTCCAGGTTTTGGCACGTCCCTCTCACCTGCAGATAATCATCACCCAGAACCACCCAGAATGTGTCCCTCTTTGCTCACCTCACACGGCAGCGGCAGCCAGGTAACCGTCAGGTAAGTGTGCAACATCTGCAGCTTGGCCTCCAAAGAAAGAGCCACGCTGGGTTAGAATGAAAAATAACAGGGAAGAAAAGTTCAAAGTTCAGTGGTGCAAGTCGTTCTGCTGAGTATTGTTATGCTAGTAATAAAACAATAATTGCTTGTTTGCAGAGCAGACAGGAATATTTTCAATTATAAAAAAAGTCTGATTAATTCCAAGACAAACACACAAAAAAATCTGAAGCTCCTCTGTTGAATAGTTTTTGAGTTATAAGCAGTTTTGTATGTCCAGACACCCCCTCTCTATAGATGGAGCCCCCTCCTCAAATATGGGGTCTATCATAAAACTGTTTCTGTGATACGGTTGCAGGGGTGGACATAAGGATTTTTTTCAGGGTGTCCAGCAGACAACCTGTTGACAAAATCTGGTTGTCTGCAAAACATTATGGTTGTCAAAAAATAAAAACCTCAATAAAAAAATGTAATTTGATAAAGTCGAGATCGGACGATATGAAAAAATTAATCGTGATCATTTTTTTTTATCATACCGTCCAGCCCTAGTTCTCTGTCAGGCTGACAGTTTCAGGAGCTGCTTGAGTAGAACTTCCTCTTTCTCCTCCTCATCCTCAAAAATCAACATCCATAAGCTTTCTGCTGACAGGTCAAATATTTTCATTTAAATAGGAGTAAACTGTCTACATGACCTTATTATATTATATATTTATTTTAAAATATATAGTACAAGAAGTTCTCTGTACAGAAATATATATATATATT